AAAGGCCTGTAAAGTTGTATGAGTATTTTTAAAAATAGTTAAAGCGGTTTCTACGTTTTTGTTGTAAGGCCAGGAACAGATTGTTCAAGATGTCCTTGGTGGAGGGACAGACGGTCAGCGGACAGCTCCGAATCAACGGCACCAAAGTCAACAGTCTGTCCGTCTTCAGCGACGTGTCTCTCACCATGAACCAGTACTTATCTACTCTCGAGCCGATGTTATTGAGCTGCTTGAGAGGACGAAGCGCGACGTTTTCCCGATGTAGTCCTGGCAGATTGATAAAGCACGATCGCGGGATCTCTTCTCCATTTCCATGTACTCGACTCCATCCTCGCTGACAGATTTTGACCCGTGATTCAGCGCCGTGTAACGGCCGTTTCTGCGCGTTGGAACACGGAAATTCCCGTCCACCCGGTGACGGTCGCTCGCCGAGAGCCTCCGATGAACTTTCGGTCGCGCGCAGCTCGTCATCACTGACCGGACGTCTTCGCGTGGGACGACGTGATGGAGAACGGCTATCGGTGTGATTTATTAGCGCGCGGAATAAACGTGCCATGCGGGAGCGAAACGTTTCTGTGGACGCTTGCTGCGGATTGCTATGATTTCGGGCCGCGCCGGCTTGCCGCCAACCGTGGCGGGTACGAGAACCTTGTATATAGTAGGCTAGAACTTTGAATACACCGACACGATTACCTTTGAATACACCGACACGATAGGTTTTATTTTATCTTTCATCAATTTTACTTGTAATGACATCGCATAATTACTCCTTACCTTGTTTTAAACGTCGTTTATAGCTAACATGTTTCGCTTACTTATTATTATTGCTGAAGAGGGTCACATGCGATGACCGAAACGTACCATGCGTCATATTATTAGTTTTCAAAATGTTATTCTTTATAATATACTTATCTACAAAGACTGACGTAGACTATTGATTTAACACCGACGATCAGGTGACGGCTCACATTGCCTTTAATTTACCTTTAATTTGATTTTTAATTGGAGCCTATTATTTGTATCTATTATTTATTTATATTTTATTATGAAAAATTAATGTAAAAATAGAGATAAAAGGTTATATTATTATTATATATATACTACATACATGTTTACTACAGCAATATGTTTAATATTTTCCTTTGTTCACATTACAATTACAATATGTTAACTGAATTACAATGTAAAACACAAATAATTCACACCATAAACATTTTATAAAAAAATAATTAATTTTACAAATTTATTTCATATTATAAATATTCAAATTAAATTATAAAACATCTTTCATTTTAAAAAAATGACCGAACGAAATTTGAACTCGAACACCGCAAGCGAAGTACAAGCAAAATACAAGCACGCGCGCGCGCCTTACCCTTTGCCCCCGCCGCGCTTACTGCTTGTAGAAGTTTCGATAGTTATGGTACACGTGTCCGCATGCTCAGCTTTAACTGTAAATTTCTCGAAAACGTAGGCCCATTTACTCCAACGCTTCAACACTTTTCATAAACTCAATACTCTCCTTCGAATGGACTATGTCTCGTTTCAAAATCGATTCCGCAAGTCTTGCCAACTTTTCGTAAACCATTAAGTAAACAAATGCACACATAAAATACTTCGTTTCTTTAGTTGTTAGGAGGATCCTTCAGCGCACGGCGAATTCTGACGGTGTGCGCCATCTTATACACGAAACTCAGCCTTCATAACCACACGGACACACATCTACAATACATCACACCCATACATAAACGCGAAAGTTTCATACAAACTATATTTTTATTTAAAATCTCTAATCCCAATTTGGAGGGTTTTATAGTAATTTTACATGTAATCCAATCCTAGGAAACTCACTTTCATGTGAGTACAAGTTGTAAAACTTTTATACGAAGCATAAGTTATGACGAAGTGACAGTTCATCTACAAGGATATAACCATATAACTAATCAATATATGAATTTTGAAATTTTTACTCATTTTTTGTATAAAATCGGAGATTCCTTGGATCATTAAAATGCATATACTGTAATTGTACGCAAGCATTTTTTATTTCATGAATTTAATACGAAGAATGGTTATAACCCCTGATGGAAAAATTTTGCTGAAAATGTAATGAAATTGATGAAAAGTGAAATGAAAGTTATTGGAAACTTGTTGAAGCCATTTCCAAAGAAATCATAAGTTTCGTTCTGAAATTCAATGAAATACTGTGAAATTAGATGAAAGTTAATTAATATTACTAAAAATTCGTGAAAAAATTTTGAAATGTTGTATATTATGAAATTTGCAGAATTTCACTGAAAATAAATTTTTTAATGAAAAATTGCTGAAATGATAATGAAATTGGGTCAATTGCAGGAGATTTTCAACCAAATTTCAGCAAATTTCATTACATTTTCCATCAGGGGCTACAAAAATGTAATTCTGTCGGTAATACAGACGGTGATTCACATCACATCACATACAATAAATTCACAAAAATTTATATATTTAATTGATCCTGTGTAATACTGCGCCATTTTCTCTCATTCCCTCTTTATATAATGTTATCTTTTCCGTGATATTGTAAGTAAATAGACATTCGGCACAGATTACACACATACACTCTCTCTCCACCCTCTTCTATGTGTGTGTATGCGCGCGCGTGTGTGTGTGTGTGTAACTGTAATAAATTCGAACACAATACACATACAATCCATACACTGACAAAAAATTTGTTTCAACTAAGTAAATAGATTTAACAACATCAGTGTTTTCTTGGCTGTATATCTGGCAATTTTAATAATACAGAAAATTTATTGCGAAAAATATTACCTCAGGCAGGGTTTGAACTTCCCTACACGCTAGGTGGGTGTCTCACCAATTCGACCACCGAGGCATATAATAATATTAGGTGCAACAACAGTATAAAGTTGTTGTCTACTCGTCTATTTCGACTTTTTAGAACTGCGCGCCGATAAGGGTTGTTGGCCGTACACAGAACTGTCGATATTTTTAGCAATAAATTTTCTGTATTATTAAAATTGCCAGATATGGTCAAGAAAATACTGATGTTGTTAATTACTGCTGGTAAAATTTAAGAATATTCTTATTAATTAAATAGATTCACTTAAAATTATTTTTTTACTGAAGTAAATATTTATTCTATTTCAATAAAAATATCAAATTTCAAGTAAATCTGCGTATTATATTAAGTAAATTAATTACATACATACATACATACATACATACATACATACATTAAGTAAATTAATTTATATCATTACGTTTTCTACATTCAACCAAAGATTTCATGATATAGGAAATACTAGGTTTGTTTTCTGTTCCTGCACTGATGAACTAGTGCAATAAATTGGAGTAAGACAAGTATATTTTTTCTCATTCTAGCTTACTGCACTAGTTCACCAGTGCAGGAACAGAAAACAAGCCCACTATTTATTAAATGTAATCATTGTTTTTGTCAAAAAAGAAATCCAATTTTCTGCGCTGTAAAACTTATATCTCAGTAAACATTTTATAGAATTAAAGTAAATTTTTTAATTTTAAATGATATTGTTTGATATTTAACAAATACTTAAATTAAAGAAATGCATGTTTTCATTTGTTTATTATTTTTAAAATTTAAGTTAATAAGCTATTAGTAGCCACCTAAGAAATCATTTTTGAGCAAAGTAACATTTTTTTTAAATTAAGATATATTTTTATCAGTGTATATGTATATTATAAGGAGATACCAATTCTTATTATATAATATTATACATTTAGAGAAAGAAAGAGAGATAGAGAGAGAGAGAGAGAGAGAGAGATTTATACAATTTCTTTTATTACTTATTACTGTTACCGCTTATCTTATACATGTACATATACGAGGGTGGGTTGAAAAGTTTTGAGCCTCAGCATGAAGATGGCATTACTTGTTGTCGCCACTTTAGTACTGCGACTATACATACTTTGAAGGATACCTTTAAAAATTTCACCAATTTTGAACTCTCAGTTGTTGTACAACAGTCGTTTGTCTCAGTGGATGTTAATATTTTCGTAAAAATGAAAAGGCTCTATTGGATCAATTTAAGCGAAACTAGAAGGATTTCTTGCGCCGATTCATAACGGTAGATGAAACGTGGATCCACTACTACACTCCTAAGACGAAGTAACAGTCGAAATAGTGGATTGCGAAGAGTGAACCTGCTCCAAAGAAAGCGAAGACAGTTTTTATCGGCTGGGGAAGTGATGGCGACTGTTTTTTTGGGATAGTCATGGCATTGTGTTCATCGACTATCTTGAAAAAGGTAAAACAATCACGGGGAAGTACTACGCATCATTACTTAACCAGTTGAAGGCAGAAATTGCAATAAAAACAGCCGCATTTGAACAAGAAGAAAGTGTTTTCTATCAAGACAACACACCGTCTCACACTTCGGCGGTTGCCATGGTCAAATTTCACGAATTGCAGTTCAAACTGATTGACCACCCCCTGTATTCACCAGATCTAGTGACTTTTTCTGTTTCCTAAACTCAAAGTTTGGCTCGGAGGACAGAAATTTTCAGCGAACGAGGAGATCATAGCATCCGTAAATGCCTATTTTGCAGAGCAAGACGCCAATTGTATTATTTGGACAGGTTAAAGCGGTTGGAGCATCACTAGATTAAGTGTATCGACTTAAAAGGAGACTATGTCGAAAAATAAAAGTAAGTTTGATCGAAAAAAATTGTTTCTCTCTGTTGAGTTAGGCTCAAAACTTTTAAACCCGCTCTCGTATGTTATCCATTAAATTGACAGAAATATTCATATAGATTAAACAAAAAAGTTTGACATATTTGCACTTCACGTATAACATTTATTTGCACAAATATAATTATAATATTATTCTTTTAAACTATTTTCTGTGTTAGAGAAGATTCGTTTCGTATACGTCAAAGAAAATGATAGAAGATTTTGCAATATGCACAATATCTCTTGTACAAATTAAAAAAATACAAATTTAGAAAAGATGGATGGGCGAAATATTTAGAAATCGAAGATTTCTGAAATTTTAAATATTATAAATAAAAAATTTTTTAATTAACGGGTTTGGACACGTCAACTCATTCAGTCTCGGTAAAATAATCAAGAAAGATTTCTGGCAAAGACAAGAAGTTGTCGTCTTATGATAGAATACAAGAATTCCTTTTGGAATCGGAGCGCTCGCGAATTTGCTGTAGATGTTGCAATTGAGCTTGGGACGGTACCTGAGAATTACTGCTACTGCGGGAGTTCAGATGCTGAGGAGGCGGCAAGGACTGCCGACGGCGACGTTGCAGTGCTGGACTTAGACTATACTTCGACTTGGCTTGAATAAGAAGTTCCTTAAATATCTGAGAGATATTTATGTTTTCTTTGGCAGATACTTCTACAAAACCATTTCTCCATTTTCTTGTAACTAGGTTTTGTGTCCGCTCACTCTCCACCTGTAATCCATATTTCGTAATTAAAATTTATATACAATACAGACATAACGCACGCGGCTAATCAGTTTTATTTGGTAAACGATCACAATCGGAACGGTTCCTTCCCATATTTAGAATAGGTATATGGTGTCTGAAAATTACATACAATTCGCCGACATTGTTTTTTTAATAACTTTTTAACAAACAACGAGCAACGACTAAGATCGTATGAAGGTCATTCTAGAAAGTCACTCAGACAACGTATGTTAAGATCAAGGTCATTTGCAGTGACTTACCTAATCTAAATATTTACCATATTTAAGTATACGAAATCTCAAAATTGTGAAAAAATTCGACGATTATTTTATTACTGCCGAAACTCACCTCTTGTTTTGTCTCCACGAGATCGAGCTTATTACCCACGATCACAATCGGAACGGTTCCTTTTGTTTTTATTATCTGGGTTCGAAGAGTTCTGACCTCGAGAAACGTAGTAGAATCATTAACATCATAAACGAGAATGAAGGCATCGGCTGAGTTAATTGAAAGATTTCTCATTGCCGGGAATTCATATGAGCCTGACGTATCGAGAATATCGAGAGTCAACTGATTTCCAGAAACGATGAAATCCTCATGATGCATTTCCTCGACGGTCCGCTTGTACTTCGGAGTGAAAACGCCATAAAGAAACTGATGAATTATCGCTGACTTGCCGACTCTTGCTGCACCCATCACCACGATCTTGTGCCGAATCTTGGATGATTTTTCACCACTACTAGTACTCGACTCCTTCAGTTTCTCATTTCTGAAAAGTACATCATTTTCATTAATTTACATTTTATCTAACATTTCAGGGAATTTGACTTATTGTTAGCAGACAGTTATTACAATTAAGATAATAGAGGTATTTCGTCAACGCTTCTCATCATATCCAAACGTATGTACAGGGTGTTTCGGCAACATACACATCAGCAAGTTGGGTTGCCTATCTGCTTACCGACAGGGGCATGCTTTATCGGACTCGTAGAATAAGATCAGATGCAAGTTCGGCGGTTTTCTAATTCTTATACAGTGTATGTGCAGTTATATGTTAATAGATAAAATAATATAGAATACAAAATTTAATGAAGAAATTTGAACAAAACTATTTTTTATTTTATAATATAAAATTATAATACAATAATATTATTTTATCTATTAAAATACAACTGCACATACACTGTATAAGAACTAGAAAACCGCCGAACTTGCATCTGATCTTATTCTGTGAGCCCGATAAAGTGTGCCCCTGGCGGTAAGCAGATAGGCAACCCAACTTGCTGATGTGTATGTTGCCGAAACACCCTGTACATACCTCTTCCTTAAACTACTAGATATATACATATACAGGGTGAGTTATTCCACATCCGACAACATTTTTGAGAAGGTAGAACGGATCGAGATGAACAAAAAAGTCCTGTACCATTTTGCAATTTTTCCAATAGATAACGAGTAATTAATTATTAAAAATTGTCATCTTAGCCCGGTCTACCACCCAATTCGAGCGCAGGGACGAGATGTGACCGCCCGACGATCGATATTGCTATGTGCACGAAAAGCTGTTTATCGCAATCGGCAATGGCTACGCATGAGCGGCGCGTAAAATAAATAAGTAAATTAATAAATCAGATGTAGATTCCATCGGTTAATTTCGCTTTAATTTATTTTTTTCTGATCGCAAACGTGTAGCCGGCTATCGCGACACGAGTCTAGGCGCGGTACGACGATGTAAGCTAGCGGGCAACGGCGCGCTGTCCCCCCTTCGCCGTATTTTTGTTCATGTAACATACATACATACATACATACATACGCACAAATATTTTTACGCCAAATTTCATTTTGATTAAAAAAGGCTAAGGAATTGTTATAGCTCGGAATAGGGGTCCAGCGTTACGCGTCGTTCGTGCGTAGCCATTGCTAGAGACCCTGTAATCAGAAATTGACCATAAGAGAGTTCGTCAAATTCCTGCGAATGAGAGAAAAACCATAGGCTATTTCACTTTTCTACGATCGTAGAATTGGGCGGTAGGCCGAGCTAAGACAACGATTTTTAATAATTAATTACTCGTTAACTATTACGAAAATTGCAAAATAGTACAGAACTTTTCTGTTCATCTCGATCCGTTCTACCTTTGCACAAATTTGGTCGGATGTGGAATGACTCACCCTGTATAATAGTATTTTAAAATATGGGAGGAATTATTTTGAGAGAGATTGTTATTAACGAAAACAGGAAGACACAATTTCTTCTACGATACAACGGAAGTAAAGTATGGAAGGATCCCCCGCAATTCATCAATCGGCAAAGCCGTGCACTCGCTTTTACATGCACCAGATAGCACCACGACTTTAAGTATCTACGTCTTTATCATCCGTGCTTATTACAAGAAGTCAGACACAGTTATTATGACGGGCACATAAAAGGAGAAAAGCCGAGCTTCTCTTTTCGCGTGGATTCGCCGCAAAATTAAAGCTCGGGCTAAAACCTGAGAGCTAGTCGCGAGGAACGGATGGCAGTAGGAAGGAGAGGATTCAAGAAGAAAGGAAGGCGGGCATACGAACTCAGACAGGTTTTACACTGAAAGAAATTTTTCCGATTTGCGATTTATTACTTCGTATGTCTCACATGTAGACCTCACGTTTGCGTCAAGGAAATACAATATTGAAAATTGAACGCTTCACATATACATGTTCATGTATCTGCATGCTGCTCCAAAGAACACTTCTTTCATAAAGAAGATGACGCTCTTTCAAAAGGAGAGATAAAAAGATTAATATCGAATCTTTTATGTGTAATAAAATCTTTCTTCTTAAAGACGAATATTGACACGATACATTGACTTATGTCACTCCAATAATTCTTATTATTTTAACACGATGTCCTGTTTGGTTCCGTTTCCGTTGATAGGAATTGATAATAATAATTTTTCGAAACAGTACGATTTTGATTTGAACACAATCAAATATTGGGCCAATGTTTAACCAATGTTTGTCCAATGCACTGTGCTACTAGGGTAGTAAAGGTGTGAGAAATCTCGAAAGAAGACTCTCTCACATTACCTAGAATTTTTTGTTGATCCGTCCTCTTCTGCCGAATGCGTCGAAGGTTGTAAGCTGAAACGACGGCAAAACTGATGACGTCCTTTCATCATTTGTGCTTCGGGATTTCTAACAACAAAAATTTATATTCAGAGAGAGAGAGAGAGAGAGAGAGAGAGAGAGAAAGAGAGAGAGAGAGAGAATTTATTTATAAAAATTAATTATTTCGTATCTTATAATAAGTAAAAAAGATCTATATACATCTTCTTTACTTGTTATAAGATACGAAATACATACATGTATGTACAAGTATCATCTCGGTGTTTTAACGTTTAAAGAAGCGTTGTTAGTGCAGCAAAAACGTACGTACGAATAAACTTGCGATTGCAAGTTTTAAGATTTTAAAAACAAGGATAGTATAAAATCCGTGAGTGGCGGCTTGAGTAACGACCGATTGCTATTCAAACGAAGTTTCTTTGTAGAGCGTTTAATTTCGAGATGATACAGAGCTAACATCAAAGAATTCATTCAAGTACGTTCGTAATCCTGCTACGAGATACATGCCCAGCGGCGTAATAACTGTAACACAGTAAATCCATTTCCTGTTAGGTATAAACCATTTTTGTTCCGCACGAAACAACGCTTTAGGCGATCCCAGGCGATTCCGCCTTCGCTTTACATCATTAATCTTTTGTGTCGCTACAAAGTTTATTGAATAGCCGCAACACGACAAAATGGCGAGCTTAAGCTGCCATCCTAAATAATCGAATGTACGTGTTCGACGTATAAAGCACATTTCCGTACAAGAGCCTCTTTTTATCTTGTGGTCATCGTATATTTCCACTCGTCTGTGAAGCGCACTAATTGAGGAAGTAATCAAGAGGCCCGTGAAAATACTTATTTCTGTTTTCACATTCGCCGAGATGTAAATTTGCTCAGAGAACTGAAAGGAGGCGGAGGACAGCTATGTAAAATACGGAGGGTGCAAAGCCGGATGAAGCAACAATATTTCCTTCGAAATATCCTAGATCTCTAAAATCTTCGTCAATTTATTTCGTTCGCAACCATAATTTATATATGCATAAATACTTATACAAGAAAAAAAATTAGATGCAAAATAATAAAAAATACAACTATATAAATTACGATTACAGTTTTGCATTTATATACCTACAAGTGTAGTTAGAATTTTCCATTTGTAAAATATCGGCGTTTATTATAATTCCGAGACGTCTCTACACCATGTAATATTTTCCGTTCTTTTTTAGTACAAAATCTCGTCTGTTTTTCGAATCTCCACTCTTTATCAATTCGCAAACGTGTGCAGAGTTTTTAATATCAGAAAGAGGCGTACCTGGGAACACCGCTCGTAAGCAGATCCTTTTGTTTTTTCCTCTGTGGAGGAAGTGACATTTTTCAATCTCGCTCAGGACAGACCGGCGATTCGCCACGGATAAACACGCAAAACGATTCCCATCGGTATTTACCGCGGATCGATAACTGTAACGTAATTTCCCATTGAGATAACTGATATCTATGTAGTATATAAGCGCAAGTCTGCATATCCTTTCTAGGTGAAGAACAAAAGCGATCGATAGAAACCGTCGTGATAACTGCTACGCGACAGACTGGAAGAGTGACAGAGATATTGTCCGTTAACTGGCTTTTTCGTCAATGTCAATAACATGCGTTTGGCTAAAGTTCCTCTCGATTCTTTCACGAAGCCCAGCTTGATATTCCGATGTTTCAACGACGCTCTTATTTTATTAGTCCCTGTAATCTATTTTTAAATGTACAAAATTGTTACGTTTGTCGAGGTGATTCAACCTGTTAACTTCAAATTGGAAACAATGATAAAAAAAACACGTGTCATAAAAATTAATTCGTTCCAGCAATATTTTGTAAATTCGTTATATTCTTTCCAACAGTCGTGTTCAATAAATATCGAAAGAAATTGCCGACGTAATAATCGAGAGAGAAAGAGAACTCTCAGAGGTAATACTCGTACTAATGCTACACTATAGACTATTTTTACAATCCAGCCTTCACAATAGCATTTTTCGATCTGTGGTACTCGCCAGAATTTACATCCAGGAATACCGGAATCGAAAGGAGAGCAATTATAAGTGTTTGGTATTTTGCGTGTAGTCTCGGGCGAATCCTCGAGCGACGTAAACGAGGTAATAAACCTCTGACTCCTTATTCAGAAAACGAGGACTGGAGATGGTGGTATAAATAATCGGCCACAATTCTCGTATATATGTTACTTTATTCCGTCGGACTGATTATCGAGACGGACAAGGCTTCGTACCCGCGTGTTAACGAGAAGTGATCTAGAGCGCACGCATAAATCCGCTCGTTCCCCCAAAAGAGCTAATGCTCATCAGTAGCGACGTCTATTATTCCGGGAATACTCGACCTTCCACAAAGTTACCGAGAACCCGAAAGTCATCGGTAAATGTATATATTCATGTGCATCATCGTCAGTACGAAACAATAGTCGACGCTCGCAAGAATCGGTTAAGGCCCAAACACAATGACCGCGTTCAACAGACACAACTGTTGAGTGAAAGCTCAACATGATTGGTTAATACTTTTAGATCCAGCCAATCATATTAAAAAATCATTGAGCGCTCACTCAACAATTGTGCCTGCTGAACGTGGCTAATGACAAGCAACAGACAACAGGAACAGGAACAGGAAATATAATTTCTGACGCGTTGGATTGATTGGAAGAAAATTTTCGACAAATCCAACGCGTCAAAAATACTATTTCATATTCCTATTGCCTGTTGCCTGGCATTGTGTGATAGGCTTTACAGTCCATTTCCGGTCTCTTCGTCGTCGGACCTCACAGAGATAAGACGTACAGCGATAGCTAATACGAATACAATTGTAACCCCTGGTCCACAATCTTGCTTTAAGTAAGCTGTGAGCCTTAAGCCGTAAGAAATTAACCAATCACAGACGTTCATTCCCCTCACTCTCACCTGTGATTGGTTAATTTCTTACGGCTTAAAGCTTACATCTTACTTAAAGCAAGATTGTGGACCAGGAGTTACTCAAGAGTCCACATAAAATATGTTCATCGAAATAAAAAGATTGATTACATCACTCCGCAAATCGACAGACAGACGTCTAGTCAACAGCCCAAAGAAAAACTGCTCAGATTAAGTCAAGTGGAAACAATAGTTTCGACCGACAAATCGTCAAAATAACAGATATCCGGAGGGGAAAGAACACAAATATAAATAAATAAATAATAAATTAGGTGATACGGACAATTTTATCGTAGATAGAGTTAAGATTATCCGTGTCTTGTTGGAGGTTGATCATGTTTTTATGTTTTTTGATGAAAAATATAATTTAATTATTATTATTTATTTTTTTGTACTACGACATGTTCTCCTGTAAGTTAATTCATCAAAGGTTCTTTTCTTTTTCAAATCTCTAATTTACCTATTACTCTAATTATTAATTGTCACTATATATGTTTGTAGATTTTGCTGTAACAATTGATGGGTGTAACGTAAGATACACTTGAAAAGGACCAGTCGTAATTTAATTTTATTAAAATAAAGGATTTGCCAGCCTATGCCTTTTAAATTCTTAATTGTATTTCTTTTATCGTTGGCGACTTACCATTTCCAAAAATTTATTGTAAACTGAACATAAATTTTTAATGTACAACGCATAATGTGTTGTTGTAAATTTAAATTCTTATAACTTCAACGTAGGAAGATTGCTTATAGTCACCAGTAATGAATAAATTCAAATATAACGGGAACTTATAGTCAACTCAACTGGCTAGTTGCTTTATTTAAGTAGATACAACGTTTCGACCCTAGTTTGGGTCCTTTTCAAGTATTACTAATGTTATCCTATCAGAAGAGACAGTGTCAAATTGTAAATTGGCGATACATGTGAGCGCTGTGATTGTTGGGCTCGAACTGCCCAATTTACAATTTGACACTGTCTCTTCTGACAGGATGACATACTTAGTAATACTTGAAAAGGATCCAAACTAGGGTCGAAACGTTGTATCTTATAACTTCGTATGTGTGTGGATACGTATTATATAAATAATATTCATATAATCTTTATGACATGCAAGGCAAAGAAGTAGTCTATCACGTAAGACAGTTGGCTCACGTACGATCCAGAGGTCCCGAGTTCGAGTCTCACTAAGGTAAGTGTATTATAAATAATACATTTAATCAACGAAAACTAATTTTCAGAGAGAATCATCATACAGGCTGTGTTTTAAAAAACAAATGCAGTTAAAATAATAATAAAATTTCAATATAAAAATAAATTTTTTTTGTCGGATAAACCTCGGAAATCAGTATCGGCTCGATACTAATTCGTAACATCGGACCGATCTTATCATTTGGATATTATGCCGACATCGGCACGATGTTACAGCCAGTATTGAGCCGACAGTCGCAAGTTAAGCCCGCTGCAGACGATGCTATTTTTCTGCTGGATTGCTTGCGATCTAATAAATTACTATCGTCTCACATAGCCAGGGACGTCCATTGAACGTCCGAAGGACGTCCGATTGGTCCGACATGGATATCCGTGGGATGTCCGTATTCGTCCGTTGACTGTCCATGGGACGTCCATATTATGTCCAAATGTCCGGCCTATTTACGTCCATAAGACGTCTTACGGGCATCCAGTAGACAAATAAGGATATCCCACGGACATCCGTGTCGGACCAATCGGATGTCCTTCGGACGTCTAATGGACATTTGATGGACGAAAATACAGTACCTCCATTGGATGTCGAATTCGAATGTCTTATGGACATTTGGTAAACGAAAATACAGGACAATCCGGATAATTAAAAGCCTGTATTGATAGTCGTTGTTCAATTCTCAAGATCAGTCTGTCTTTGTCTCGCCTACTACGTTTTTCCATACGCGACACGAGACAAAGACAGACTGATCTCGAGAACTGATCAGGAACGACTATGAATACCGGCCTTAAACTGCTTTAAACTTAAACCAAAGGTTTAAAAAGATCAAATATACACAATCGTTGATCTTGAACTTGCAAATCCTCACAGATCTGATATTTGTTACAACGTAAATGGTACGATATAAGGATAAAATAAATTATTTTAC